AGACAGGATGGTGTGCCTGCACCAAAGAAAAGAAGGAGAAATGTACAAATGTAGTTATCTAGAAATGATGTTAACAAATTACGGAGTAGAAACAATGTTTAGCATTACTAAGTATTATATACATGTACTTGTGGCATTTCTGTGAACACAATAGCACTGTATGGTTACAAATGTAAACAGTTGACAGGTAGAATTTATAGTTAGATCTTTTCATGCAGCAGTACCAAAACAAAGCGTGGACAATTGTTTTGCTCAACTGTACTGACTATTGCTGTATGATGCACACTGTAAAGAACTATATATATTATAATTTTAACGTTACATGTGTAAAATTGGCATTTACTCACGTTTTGCAAACTGAAGTCTCCCTCGTTAATATTGGCAACAGCAGTACAGGGTTCCCTTTAACTAGTCTAAGTTAAGAAAACATTCACAAAATTATATACTAGTACATGAGTGATACTACTTGGGGAGGGGGGCTATTTTTCTTTTATATGCACCAACCGATCTGTCCCATGCTTATGTCGGCCCAAAACGAGGAAAATTGAGGAAACAAGTGCAGTGGAGTTTTTGAACAGGTATGGAAATACATGCAACCCAAACAACAGTTATGTAACACGTGTGAACACACTGCCGATGCTAATGAGTCGAACGTGTAAATATGGTGTAACATGCATCTAAACATTTGACGCCCCATATTGCTAATAAGAAAGTGTCAGGCTAACGCCAGTTTTCCAGCTCTAAGAGACACATAATTTGTGGTTTGAAAACCACCAGAGTTTGCTCCTGAAAACTTGTAGTCATACTGAAATATCAAGAAGTAAACGTTACTTACGTTGGCTCTTTAATACACATCCGAAGAGAGACCAGCCAGTTTTCTTCGTAATTTCTGCATTCTCGCGGCTTAGAGGTGCTAAAGACTCAACCAATTCTCGCAAGACTCTGTTCGCTACCCTGTAGCAACGTTGTTCCCATTGCAAATGGTTGCATGTGACTATACGTCATGATTTGTGGTGTCAAAGGCCAAAAGTCACAGTGCGCTAGCGGGAGCACGGTATTTTCCCATATATGCAAATGAGCAGGTTAATTTTCCCATATATGCAAATGAGGTTAGGCGCGGAGCGGCGCGTTCGAACTAAATGTTCCACTCGAAACAGGCGTGTTCAGTCTGAAATGGGTTTAAAAATCGGGTATTTCTTCTTGTCTTCTTTTCTTCACCAAAAAATAGAAAAAGTTCAAAATGTATGGTTTTTGTATGTAATGTGGACACAGAGGTTCACACATCAGTTTGCAAAACAATTGAGCTGGTAGCATGTTGATAATTTCTAAAAATTAGCAAAAAACTGTTCTGGGGTCCGCGCGGACCCCAGGTGTACAGATTAATCAGTCCGGGAAGGTGTACTGTTGAGGGTTAAAGTTACATGGCTATAAACGGAGGGTATATACATTTACCTTCCTGCACTTGAGTAAGAAGTTCTTGAGGTCTCCATACGGCATGTACTCCGTCACCAGGTAGGGAGGGTGGGACAGTGTGCAACAGCCCACAAGACCGAGCAGGTTGATGTGGCCCCTCAGGGTGATGGTGGTGTCGACCTCTTGTATAAAATTCTGTATCTCCTCTTCTCTCGCGTTCTCTGCAAATTTAACAAAAACCTTTCATTGTTGAAGCTTCACCGGTGTAATTGCTCAGGGAGTAGAGTGCTTGTTTTGCATTTGGGCCAGATCATACCAAAGGCTAACTTTCTCTGCTTAAGTGCTGTGTGCCATGCTTTCAGCCATTATTCAATTCAATTCAATTCTTTATTAAGATATCAAACATAACAGACAAACATGACATACAATGTTGCCTGAATGGCGTCGATATTTACAAGATAAAATGTCAAAAAATTATATATTTACAACAACTATAAAAACAGTACAGTAGGTGTACAACCCAGATATTTACAAGGTCCATTATCTTGTGCCAGGCACTATCTGTACAGTCCGGTTATAGAGTCTAATTGACTGGCGAAGGAAATAGTTCTGTAGTCGTTTTGTTCTGGCGGGGGGATAGAGATAGTGTTTTTGTTCCTGAGTGAACGACCGGTAGCTGTAGATCTGGAGAGAGGGACAAGGTCATGTAGGGGGTGGTCTTCTCGTAGCATCTGTGTGAAGAGTTTGACGGCAGCATCCTCGCGCCTTGACTTGAAGACGTGTGGCAAAATAAATCAACGAAGCTCCTAGCGTTAGTGAAGATATGGTATTAGCTTAATAACCAGCTGACGTTGACTTACCACGGACAGTTTTGGCCACCACTGTTTGTTCCGTGAGAAGACCATCAACAGCTCTCTTTAAAGTCGCAAGGAAGGCGATGCCGAAGGCCCCTCTGCCGATCTGTTCATTCAGTAGCAGATCATCCGGGTTTACCTCGTACTCTAGGAACTGTGGCCGAGCCGGCACAGGCGGGGGAAGTGAAGGTGGTGGTTCGTACAAATTTGTTAATTTTGCATCTGGGATTAAAAGCAGTGAAACAACATCATCAGTGTCTTCAATAGGCCTCACGGTGTAATACAACAGTATTCATCATCAATATACCCACTTTTCTGTCTTATTGAATACAATACAAAACATATGCATTTGTATCAATAAAATAAAGAATAAGTGAAGTAAGTTAAGCTTTTAGCAACACAACTTCTAATTAATTGATTTATACGTGCTTCCTGTTTGTAATACATACATGTAGCATGACTATTTACACAATAGTTTTTGCGCATTGGTACCGAATAACAGAATGGAAAAACTGCAAGTATGTCATGATATCATATACCTAGAATATCTGGATGAAAGTCAAACTGGTTTAATTCATTGTCGTCACTTTGTCGCTTTCTGCCGCGCCGGTATCCCAGAATCCCCGCTACTACTCCCAGTAGTACCACAGATGGCACCACGGCAATCATCACCACGTGCACAGTGGACAGTCCCGCTGTTTCAGATGAATAAGATACTGGGATTACATAAAGTTAAAACATTTTGTTCCAACACAAAGAAATGTTCTCACCTAGAACTTTAGACGAGTCACTTAGGTCTTCCTCAGTAAAATGACCCAGTGAGATTTGCCACGTGGCTTCTCTTAATTGTGACGTCAACACTGGGTCAAAGGAATCCTATAAACAAGTCACACCTCAGAAAAACCACGTGCCAAAGTCTCACTTGGTTAGTCTATTGAAGAAGACCAGGGTGAAGGGTAAAAAGCTCTAGGATTTCTTTGTGTTGAATTATATGTTTGACTTTAAACATGAAACTAGTAGTAATTAGGAAAAGGTACGCATTATTTCTATATTAGGGAAACTCAGAGACACCATTTAAATACGTTGTATGTAACAGTCTGTCATAAATATTAGAACTATACTTCACTTTGGAAAAATCTGAAAACTTAACGAAACATAATCATGTGAAACAAAAGAAACAACCCACGGGCGCATGTAGGATGAGTGCCGCTCCAGGTCTGGTCCGACTGGCAAGTTCGTTCTTCATCGCCGCTGATCTCGTATCCAGCGTCACAGTAATACGTAACGACGTCCCCATAAGAACTACCGCCGTAGATGTTGCCATTAGAAGGTGCCATCAGTTGTTGGCAGAGTTTTACTGTAACACAGTTAAAACGGCGTAAGGGCCATTAACTTTTTTTATTGTACAATGATGATAGCAAGTAGACTGTATATATGTTTGTAGCCAACATTGCAATATCTAAAGGAGCAAGACATAGTTGAAACGTATCGTACTGTATATTCCAAACTAATTATCAATCCCGTTACAATATCACGATATTAAAAGCTGCCACCTACTGGAGCAAATGGGCTGCACGCCGGACCAGCTCTGGTTGGTCTGGCAAGTTCTGTTTTCATAACCGATCAGTTCGTGGCCTTCGTTGCAGGAAAATGTGACTGTGTCTCCGTAAAGATGACCTTCTGTCCTGTTGCCGTTGGTTGGATGCGGTAGCTCTGGGCAGGGTTTTCCTAATAGAGGGCGTAGGATGCTAGGTAGTTTTAGTTAGAAAAGGCTACTTGCAGTCACTGTGCTGCAGAGGGCACAAAGACATCAACTAAGCACACCAAACCAAACAGAAATGACTGAACTACTTTAATTGGGAAAAAAAGAAAACTCAACGAAACATAATCATGTGAAATAAAAGAAACAACCCACGGGCGCATGTAGGCTGAGTGCCGCTCCAGGTCTGGTCCGACTGGCAAGTTCGTTCTTTATCGCCGCTGATCTCGTATCCAGCGTCACAGTAATACGTAACGACGTTCCCATAAGAACTACCGCCGCTGATGTTGCCGTTAGAAGGTGCCATCAGTTGTTGGCAGAGTTTTCCTGTAACACAGGCGTCAGGGCAATGAACATATTTTATTGTACAATGATGATAGCAACAAATTTCTACTAGAATATGTAAATTGATTTTCATGACAGGGTACTTGCAGATCTAGATATTTTTGTCACCATCATTGCATCATTACAAATCAGGAGCAGGACATAGTTACAACGTATTGTACTGTATATTGCAAACTGATTATCAATTTGTCGGTGAAGGTTAGACATCCAGGTAATAAGATACGCCAAAAAGCAGTTAATCAAGCAACTGGATATGATTTTGGAAACGGTCAGACGTTTCAGGTATACCCTTCTTCAGTGACTCTAAGAGACCAGAGGGAAATTTTGTTTCCTTTTCAAGACATCATCCTTGTCTGGACGTCTGACCGTTTCCAAAATCATATCCATTTGCTTGAGTAACTGCTTTTTGATTATCAATTCCAATACACAATTATAAATCATAATGTTAAAAGCTGCCACCTACTGGAGCAAATAGGCTGTGCACCGGACCAGCTCTGGTTGGTATGGCAAGTTCTGTTCTCAGAGCCGACCAGTTCGTAGCCTTCATTACAGGAAAAGGTGACTGTGTCTCCATAAAGATGACCTCCTGTCATGTTGCCGTTGGTTGGAACAGGTAACTCTGGGCAGGCTAATTGTAAAGATAACACAAGATATATAGTACCTCTAGGTAGGAAATGGTACAATCACAATGAGAGAAAACCGGTTCTTCCTTGCAGTTCTAGAAAAGGCTGCTAAGGGGACCAAGCTTGAACGACATTTTTCCAGAAGACAAAGAAATTCGTGACCCTAGCATGTCCAGATCAAGAGATATCAGAACCGAAAAGCCATGTACTCATAACCAACCTACCAAATATCAAGACAATCCATGTATACCTTTTGGAGTTATTGGTGACACAGGCGGACGAACACACACACACACACACACACACACACACGCGCGCGCGCGCGCACACACACACACACACACGCACACACACACACACACACACACGCACACACACACACACACACACACAATCGCTACCGAAAAGATCATCTTAATGGCGAATGTATGATACATGATACTTACCAACACAGCTGGCAGTAACCGACCAGACGACTTGCCACCGATTCCCGTCCCACAGTAACCACGGTGACCTGATCAGATCAGGTGTCACGGCGCAGTTCGGGACATAAGCGAAGCCGCTGCGTTCTCCGATCGTGGGGCCCACCCACCATTGCTTGAAGTCTTCGACAAAGTGAAGAAAATCTTGGCTGTTTGTGTCACTAACGTAGACAGGTCTGCCACCACTGGTCTGGTCTGTTCTGGTGTAGGTCGTCATGGCGGAGGGTAAGTAGTGGCCGTGAAGACGGACCCTCGCACAGTTTGTAGCGCCCCCTGCCGATTGTGCAACTACCACGTCAGCTGGGACGTCATCTGGAACGAACAAGAATAAAAATGCAGACTTTATCACTTTATCTAAGCTTAAACGTAATGTTGTAAATTTCTATATGTGACTGGTGTATTCTTGCAAAGACATATATTATACAGCAAATTGAAAGCTTTTTTGCAGTCTAGAGGCTGAATTAAGCAGCTTTTACAATTACTAGTGTACACACAAATAAATATGTATTGCTCAGCATATGCATAACATCGCTCATGCACTAAACTAATACAGATTTTATGTTAAAATTTACAACAATTACATTGATGTAACTTAACAATAATAGTATAATGTTACATAGACATACAGAAAAGATAAAACGTATAACATATGTTCTTTTAGATTAAGAATATATAGCATATCATATATTCATATATTCAACCAGGATTTAAAATGAAAAGAAATTGATATCTTACGGGTTTATCGTAAAAGTTAGTTTTGGAACAACCTTACCATTTCGTCGTTTCATGTTTCTCTATGTTATGAAAACAAGCTAAATTTTACATATTATCATATAGCCAGGTTGCGTTGACCAATCAGAAGCCCCTATTCCATATTGATTATGACGCCATAATGTCACAGTTAGCATGATATAAGTATTGCCAGGTGTGTTTTATTCTCACAAGTGTGCTTTGTTGCACAATAAAGCACGGCCCGGAGCAAACCATTTGCAGGGGAGTTAACTCTTTTTGCTGACATTTTTAGCACGTTTCCTTGTTGAATAGAAATGTTTACCGTCTTGTCATCACCCAATTTATTTAGCAATACATAACAAAATAAAGACCATGTCAATACATGTGAATTTTGAGCGAAAGAAAAGAAAACATATTTTGCGCCACCCCCTAGTAAGTACATTTCTGTATTGAAACATCCAAATGACCTCAGATGACTTCAAACGGAAGCTTGTTCTATTCTTTTGGCCATAACGATTCTGTTCCGAAGTTCCGGTGAACTCAAATGAACTCTGATAGAACAAGTAAAATCACACTAAAGGGAATACAATTTTAGACAAGGGTGTGTCAGAATTTGTCATAGAAGAACTGATTGAGGCCAATTTAGACTCAATATGTGGGTCCCTGGAATCGAGAAAGATGCACAGGAACAGTGGCTAGCGGACGGGAGGATAGAGGAGTGACTGTAATGGTTTGTTATATAATTTAGATATATGTGTTATACAGGAATGTGTTACTCTCTACTGTTTAAGTTTTGATAGGTTATATGATAATAGCATTAATGGCCCGCCCTTTCTCGGTGAATATGGTGTGATAAAGCCTTGGCATTTGCTATAACCACCGAATAAAGCCATCGAGTGAGCGACAGCGAATACACCATATTCACATCGGGGCGGGTCATTAACCCTAAATCAGGCGTTGTCGGTTTCCATTTGCATGTGGTCATCAAATACGGTAGGTTTTACGAACCAGAGCAGGCGATCTTCACATCCGGGTTCTCTATCCACTCCTGGCCGGTCAACACAAGGAACGTCCCGTTGATCTGGTCAGCGTAGAGGGCGGAGTCCTTGACTTGCAAGGCCCTGCTGAGTTCGAACTGCTGTCCGACGTGCCACTCCATGGTAGGCTTGTTGTAATACAGGTCGGTGCAGGTGGCGCTGCTGTAGTACACGGGCCGGTCACCGCGGGTGTCTCCCGTCATGGTGTAGGACGCCATCTTGTCGTCCTTCAGAGTGTTGGAGCCGCTATACAGGACAACCGTGGGGCATCCTGACACAGACAGATAGTAGCAAAATAAGTGAAGTGACAGGTTAATGAGTTACCATAAAATTGGCCTGATCTGCATTACGTATACATTTTTGGACATGTATCCAAGGTATCCCCATACCGAATTTCAGCTCATTCGGATTTAATACTAACTACAGGGCTCCAGATCCCAATTTTTTTCCTGAAAATGGTCAGAAAACCCAAATAAAACAATGCTTTCAAAGGCCTGTTTCTATAAAATGAAAAAAAAATTGTCTGGGGTTATTCTACCTTCATGACAAATTTTAGCTCATACTGCACAACACAGAAACGAATATGTTACAAATGCAAAAGCACCGCACTGTCTTGTTTGAAAAGCAGTAGAGGAGAGAAGGATGAAATACTGCAAATTCAGTTTTGTTCGGACGCGTTAGTATTTGTAAAGACATTTTTGCAGTGTTTTAAGTTCGCTCTTGAAATTAAGCATGATAGTACATTTACAGTGGCATCAGAGCGTTTATTCTCTGTTACACTGTGCCTCTTATTGTTGGCATTGCAAGCTCACTGACAAAATAGTACGCAACTGTGCATAGCGGCCACTGGCCAGTATGCCTCTAAAGATGCACGTCCTCTCCTATTGTCTTGTCTAATTACCTTCGCTATGAATGATATGTTTTTAATGGCGTTCGTGTGTGTGTAATTGTGCAATTGTGTGTGTGTGTGTGTGTGTGTGTGTGTGTGTGTGTGTGTGTGTGTGTGTGTGTGTGTGTGTTTGTAAGCAGCCAATAAGATATGTTGCCAACTTCAAATATCTGGGGTCCATGATGGCCTCTAGCAGTCATGACATGGCCAAGAGGAAATCACTTGCATGGACAGCTTTTTGGAAGCTTTCCATGCAGCTGGAGATGATCTGGAGAAGTCCACCAATCTCCACACTAAACTCAAGCTTTTCAACACCACCTGCGTGACAATACTGTTATATGGCTGTAAATCCTGTGTCATGGAAAATAAGCTAAACGCGTTCACCACACCATGCTATAGGGTCGTGCTTAACATCAAACGCCTAGTAGTCCATGGGCCAGACAAGATTTTGTTACCAAATCAAGGGACAAAACGCGAATGCCTTCATGCGATAGTCCTCCCCACAAGCTTTTTGAAAATGTATGATAACCATGTTGAGTGCCCAGCTTTGACCTTGTTATCTGACCTTGAACTTTGACCCTATGGGGACCATTTCCTTTCCTACTTATAATGCAAAGGGGAGTGTCAAATAATCAAATATCGATATTTTCCAACGTTACTTGGTGGCCAGATAAAACTGGAACAAAGAATTACAAAAATGTCAATTTTGTTCCGATGTGTCATTTCTAAGAGAAGTTATGAGCTTTTGAAATTCGATTTTTCGGTAAAAATTGGTAAAAAAATGGAATGTTTACTTTTCAAAACCTGTCAAATATACAGATTGCTGGTTCATGAATTCATCTGATTTGTTACACTTTTCCCTACATTTTAAGCTTTAAATCGTATACGTAAAAATCCAGGCCTTCTGTGGGGAAACCGTTGCTAGGGCCGTTGCTAAGGAGGCACTGGGCTGCTTTCCCAGTAAAATGTAGTGCATATCATAAGTAAAATGTGAAGAAAATTTTTATCGGTGGAAAATTGTTCATTTTCAGGGCCTCAGAAATTCATATCATGTTTCCATGGTAACCGTTGCTAAGGAAAATACATCTCCCTAGCAACGAAGAGGATAATACTTTCATACGGTTTCATAAATGGCAATAGAGGGATACCTGTGGGGGAATGTCTGTTTCCTGACGATGTTGAGTGAAGTATCTGAGTGTAGATATGAGGGAAGCTCATTTTGTTTGCAATTTTTCGCATTATTTGGGTGTTTTTAGCTAAAAATGTAGATTTCTGACACCTGTGCCATGATAAAATGAAGCACTTTTTCTGAAATTCGGTACAAACATGTAAGTTATCAACTGCCACGAATCTCTGCCTATTAAATGCTGATGACTTCGTTTTTCTGAATAAATGAATGGTATTTTGTGTTTTTTCTATCCAAAAATGCACATTTTGGTTCATATGATAATGTCTACAGAAACAATGGTGAAGCATTTCACAAAGTAAGCCACACTATTATATACAACAATATAAAGAAACGTTGCAAATGTAACTTACTTTAAGACTTAGCCACAAAACAAACCATACTTTGACGCTAATCAGTTTAAATCATCATCAAAACCTGGCAAAGGTTAATGGTAAACAATAAATGAATACTTGTAGGACCTATTAGTTATTTCTTATTCCAAGTGAATCACTTGTAAGGTTCATCGCTGAGGAATGGAAGAAAGGCAAGTACAAGAACAAAAGAAAACTACACAGCAAGGTGCTTTTCGTTGCATGTGAGGAAGAGTGTCACAAGATTACATCAGAGAATATTGACATCGTCCCTGAGTTCAACTCAGGAAGAAGCTGACACTCGAATAATCTTTCATGCCGCCTATATGCAGCAAGGATTGATGTCACTTGTTCCCGGCCGGGAAGAGTACATATGACAAGTGAAAAGGTCACCTGACAGCTCCCATTCTGTCCCTAGGAGTTTGAACATGTCTCGGAAGTCTTTGTTTTCTTTAACAAGTCGAAGAGCTGGCACATGTTCCACCATGTAATACGGGGCGCGCATTCCCGATTGTATGCGCCATGCCTCTCCGGTACCAGTGCGCCCACTTCGGCGTCAAATGTGATTTCAACTACAGCAAAAAAAAGTAATTTCTCAGACAAGCATCCTTCACCCAAATCACGAAATCGACAGGACACGTAACCAAAGTCTGGAGACCCTGCGAGCTCACAACCCGATCGTGAGCAACAAACCTGTTCAGTACAAGTGTGCCTACTCCGACAGTGTGCTGTTACCCTGCTGACAAAAAGACGCCGTGACCTCACCGTGAAAACACCGAGAGGTACCCCTCCGGTTGCCGGCAGTCCACCGAGACACATTTGTTACGTCACAGGCCAGATGAACAGAATAAAGGTGTGTACTTCGTAAACCCGGGTAAAATGTGTGACGTCACAGATCAAATGATCACAACAAAAGCGTGAATTCTGCACTACTGGTCAGTTCAAGGTCAGACATCATTAGAGAATCTGCCGGGTACCTGCCGGTTGCCTGCCGGAAACAGACCAAAAAGGGTGACAAAATTAAACAAAATGCTACTGAAGGAAACTTTTAATTATGACAACGACAGCCCATGCCCAACCGACTCCTGAGCCCGACAGGGACCGGCCGGGGCTACATCCCCGACGGGCACCGGCGGGCAGGTCAATGCCTACTGTAGTTTTGTGGTAGGCATTATACGCGAGGCTAGCGGGTGGGACCGTAGGCGTCTTTTTAGACCGTTTGACTTTGCTTTTGTACCGATAGGCACTTAGAGTCAACTGCCTTGAGGGTGTGTACTTTATGTAAAAGGCTTTCTAACTACGCGTAGCTGTTGTAGTTGTGTACTCTCCAAGCAGAGGCTTGGATTTGGGGTTATTTTAGTGTGTTGTTAGGCTTTTTTTATCGGGGTTTCTCTTTTGCACACTTAGGGTTCACAAAGAGAAACCCAGATAAAAAAGCCTAAAAACATGCCAAAAATAACCCCAAACCCAAACCTCTGCTTGGAGAGTAGTAGTTGTATAGTAAGCGTATTACGCCTTGCCTTGGCGAGGCTACGGGTGGTACCATTTCTTTCCACGGTCGGACTTCGCTTCCGTGCCGATGGGCACTTAAAGTCCATCGCCTTGAAAAAAGGTATTTATATGAAATGCTCTCTAACTACCAGTAGTTGATGTAGTTGTGTAATTAACGTATATCGCCTTACCGTGGTGAGGCCAGCGGGTCGGACCATCGTTTTTCACGGTCTGATTTCGCTTCTGTACCGACAGGCACTTTGAATACACAGCCTTGAGGACAGGTATTTTACAACAAAAGCTTCCTAACTACTGGTAGTTGCTGTAGTTGTCGTATTTCGCCTCGACTTGCAGACGCTAGCGGGTCGGACCGTCTCTTTTCAGGGGTCCACCGCCTTGATAAACGATATTTACAAGAAAGGCACTCTCTCTAACTACCCGTAGTTGCTGTAGTTGTCATATTTCGTCTTGCTTCGGAGCGGCTAGCGGGTGGGATTGCTTTTTCTACGGTCGGACCTCGCTTATGTGCCGATAGAGTCTACCACCAAAGTCCGTTGACAGGGCAGTGTCTATTTACGGGCCTGCGTCGCTGAATGTCTGTGCAAGCACACATTTAGAAAACGACGACCTTGCCGTTCCCTCCTGGCTAAAGGTATACATATACAGTATTGAACAGGCGTCTTCCGGGTTCAATGTAGTCGGTCATACGCTAACTTGTGTTATCTACCGGCTATTAATCCAACATGTCACAATCCCGCGTGATTGGGGCATGTTGTTTAGTCGGCTGGTGTTCGGGAGCAGTCTGACTATAGTCTCCAAGTAGATGTTTGGGGTTTTTTTTTGGTGTGTTTTCAACTTTTTTATCGGGGTTTCTAGTTTGCACTGAATCCCCCCTCCCCTCCACAAAAAAATCCCGGGGCAAAAAAGAAACCCCGACAAAGAAAGTTTAAAAACACGCCAAATTACTTTAACCCCAAACCTCTGCTTGGAGAGTAGTCTGACCAGATCAATTGATTTTCCAACCGAGGACATTATGTCTGATTAAATCGCTTTACGGTTGCCGGCCGTCCAACATCCAGTCGGCCCCCGAAGGGGTGTGGTCATATCAAAGATGTGTGGGGAGGGAGAGAGAGAGAGAGATAGAATACGCCCTATATATGTGATCACGTGACCGATTATGTGGAGTCAATATGGTTGTGTAAAAGGGCGTGTTGTTCCACTTCAAGTGGTACATGCATGGAGGTAGAAAAACAACATGGTACAAGTAATAAACATGGGGAAGCCAGCTTTCAGTGAGCAAATCATAACCACCAGACCAGCTGCCGCGGCGTTGTGTAAGTTACTAAAACCAA